ATCCTTGGCGTAACAGTTCTGTTTCATTTATCCTATATAGCTTCAAGGTGATAAAATTTAACCGAAATACGAAAATATTTAAATTTAATTATATTAAGCAAAAAAAAATTAAAAACTTTGGAAAGAAATCAGGAAAAACTCGAGGAAAAAATAGAAAACCAAGAACACAGGTTAAATCAGTTGGAGAGACAAACAAGGCAAAGAAACGTTGTTTTCTATGGTATGGAGGAAAATGAACGTTCTTATTCACATCTAGAAAACAATGTAATTGATTTTCTGAATAATTATTTTTCTTTAAATATAAACTGCCATGACATAGAAGCTGCTAGAAGAATAGGGAAAAAAGGCGACAAGCCCCGTCCGATCGCGGTCACATTCGCCACTCTAGGTCACAAGATAAAGGTAATGCAACAAAAGAAAGCTCTGAATGATACCAGCTACTATTTAAAAGATGATTACCCATATCATGTCCTAGAGAAAAGGAAGATTCTTCAGGAACAAGTCAAAATAGAGCAGGAAAAAGGGAACAAAGCTACCATAAAATACGATAAACTGGTAGTAATTAAACCTAATAAAACAGATGCCGACCACACGGACAACAGAAAAAGGCACCTTTCTATCTCTCCACAACAGAAAAAAAATGCCGAGAGAATACTCTAAGTACCAGTACACAAACAGCTAAGAAAAATAAAACCGTTCAAAGTCGCACAACACCTCAACGACCCTCCAGTTTCTCAGGAGTGATTAAGCCAGGAATGCTTAACTTTTTAGTAAACAAGAAAGACAGGCAGAGCGACGAAGGAAATAAAAGAAACAGCAACAACATATAGCAACTAACAACGCCTCTCTCAGTGTACAAACACAACATAGATAAACTTAACAAAAATGAATCATCACATCTTCCAAGACGGCCGGTCACCGAGGAAGATTACGACCAAAACCTTCCAGCAACACCATTAAAAACCAACTCAGCAACCGAAGAAAACAATCTAATTAACCAGCTCTACATAACCACGTACAATGTTAGAACACTCTCCTCATACGAACGTCTAATAGAACTTACTGAAGCTTTTAAAAACGTAAAATACGATATCATCGGATTATGCGAAGTTCGTCGCCTCGGAAGCAAGATAACAGAGTACGAAAATTCAGAGCGGCCTTTCGCACGCTGGGAAGAAGATATTTAAAAAATTAGCTGGCCCCAAATGGCAGCACATAGCGCAAAATAGAGAAAACTGGCAAAAGCTGGAAGAGGCTTTCACCTGAAGAGGGGTTCCTATACAATAATTAGAATACCAAAACTGTAAATAATAATACTTAGCATGATATAAATATAGTCATAATATTTATTCATTTACTAATAGATTTTGTTAAGTTTTGCAAAGGTTTAGAAAACCACATAAAGAAATGTACCTTATTAATTAACTATATTGGGAAATAAAAGGCTTTTTATTTTATTTATTTATATTAAGCCAGATTACTCGTGATGTTTTTCTTCACAGTTTAAGGAGTAAGGGCATCTAGAAAGATTTGCTCCCGAAAGCACGGTCTTAGGGTTGATAATCGCACGCTTCACCACTAGGTTAACTCTGCTCTAATACGTAAATTTACTACAATTTTAAGGAAACTATTTTCATTCTGATTTCGGAGTACCTTTCTACTAACAAGACACTTCCAGGCAACTAGTAGGAAGGATAATAAAGAGTGTATGACTTCCTAGGAAACCCATGATGTTACGTAATGTGGAATAAATTGTAGTCAGCACTAACTGCACGTGATTTATGCACGGAACTGTGTCGAATTAACAACTACTATGTTCCCGTTATAATAATGTTGATCGATAACAACAAAACAAAGTTCAACAGCACAGTGTTTTAAGACATACATGGTTATTCGGGACTTATAATCGATTATATAAAATAAATTTCCAATATTATGTTATTCTATGCGGTTTTAATTCGAATAAGTAGTTCCTGATTCTAGCGCTTCAACTAAACAAGCAATCTTCAGCTTATAAAATATAAATAGATATGGATTACTTTTCTGAATAAAAGCAATCTTTTACAATATAAAAAAATTACAGCGAAAACATCTGTAACTGCCATTTGCACGTGCTTCATGATCGGTTTTAAAAGAACGACTAGACATACGTGGATCGTGTTTTCCCGTACAAAAAAACCTTTCCTAATCATATGGCCGTAAAAGACTCTGAAAACGAAAGGGAAAACCTAAATTCTACAAGATAATTGAAATCAATTGAAGTAATAGCGATTACAGAAAACCTATTTATCCGTTAAGGCTTTGATTACTTAGCGTAATAAATAGAGCAACATTAATATTGTTGCATTAGACAAGTAGCCTTACATCGATTAGTGCAACGCCTCGGGCGACAGCAGTTTTGCACTTAATTGTAAATTAAGCAACGAAACTACTATGTTCATTAAACTGTCATAAATCAACCAACTCCTTTGTTATTAGATGGCAAAGAAATTTATTTCAACAATACGCCATTTATTACTTCATTTTATACTTATTTTTGAAGAACAGGGGAGACTCATGTGATGTTGCCAGCAGACACGGATGTTGGCCTTTTAAGAATCGGTACACTTTCGTCTTGAAGGATCCTAAAGCCGGAATAACATTACGAAATTAGAGGCATGAAATTTATTTCCTGACATTATTTTTGAATATTTTCGTAGTGCATGCATTAATTGAATGAATGCAAATAAGTTTCGTGCCCTGCGCGATTTTTTGGTGAAATTTCTTTCATGATGGCGATGCGACGTGAAACTAGTATCGCGAAAGTGCTTCTACTGTGCGGAGGTGTGTATTTTGATGCTAATGCATGATGCCACCCTGTTCCAAATTCTTATGATAAAGACTATTTCCAGTTGCTAAAAAACGCAGCATTTTAAGTTTATAGAAAATCATCTCTTAAGCTACATTAAATATAGAAAATCTAAAGCTTCTGATACTGATGAGGCCATGGTTACTGCGATATTCAGGATTTCACGACGCTAATTATTTCCGGCTTTAGTCAAATTGGGGTGGTGCGTGGCCAAGACTTTGTCAAACGTATTGGTAGTGGTAGAGCAGCGTCCTACGATTGCCCAATGACGTCAAGCTAGAATATAGGTTATTGTTTAACATAACTTTATAATATTTTTAAATAATATAATCCATTGACCGCCGTTTTTCCCGACACTACTTAACTGTCTCTGTTACAAAGATATTTTTCTCATTCGAAAAAGGAATTGTAACGCGTGAGTTGTCACTGCCATTTAAGTCGACAAGATTTTGTCTATGGAATGTTTTTACATAACGTAATAAATTCTATATTGATAAATTTGAGTTATCGTCAACTCGACGATTATTGTCTTTTCAGGCGGATACGTTTCAATGGGAAGAAAATCTTCGAAAATAAATAAGTACAATGATTTAGTTTACCCATAACAAAGAGACTGACTTGACTGTCTTGAGAAAAATGGTTTATGCATTTACTTTCTTCACTAACATAAAACAATAATATGACAAATTGACAATGTGTAATTAAAAAAAACATTTGTATTAAATATTTTAATATAGGAGCTGTAGTTACATTGTTATATAGATAAACAAATTACACTTAAATAGATCTTATACTAAAAATTCAGTCTCATAAATTAAATAGCTGGAATGGCATAGTTTAACTATTATAATTCCATATTAACGACATCGTTCTATAACATAAATTAGCTCAATTGCCAACGAGACGTCTCGTTTTAAACTTAAAACTATTTCCTTCCTTTTGGTATGTTATGTCATTAGACTTAAGAATATAGTCTGTCATTTTTCAATTTAGGACGACCGCCTGACAAATACGATACGACTTGTATTTAGATAATATAGCCATTAGCCATAGAGAAATATTTATCGTTGAAATATTGCAGGGGCTCGTTTTAACTGTACATAATAATAAAATCAATATCAATAAAAATCAAAACAAGTATAAATCATTTAAAAAATCATAAGTATGATTTATTTAGATCTAAAATAATATTACTGAGTTAACGCAAAATAAAACGAGGTGAACTATTTAGAATTATGACATCTTAAATAGTTTTTGGCCAATTAAACTTATACAAAGCCGTATTTCCGTTAAATATCACATATAATGGTTTATATATAATATCAATTCAAATTAGTTCTCAAAATAGGTGTGTTATTTTACAATTTAATCACATATGTTCTGGCTGGTCATATCAGAAAATTCAACCATTCCTATTATAGTCTTAACTCATATACTTATTAGTCTCTTAAACTGCACTGCACGAAATGTTAGTTAAAAGTGTAATAGACTTACTTAATTTTTATGGTTTCAGTGGTTACTCCATTTTTACAAACAGAAGGGTATCTCAAGAAACAATTTCTTTTTGAGCACTGTCAAATAGGTCTTCTAAACTAGATTTAAGAAATAAGGGTTTTAATCTTACTCTAGGACTTTTGATAGCTTATTTTGAGAAACTTCATGGATCATTAGCATTAAAAAATTGATTTTTTGTTTCAATAAAAAAATAATATTTTGTATTTATAATATCGTCGAACTACCCAGGAGACTTCTGTGCTTCTGGAAGGAGCTAGGCTGGTTTAGTAAGCCAGGACTTTACGCTCAACGGACCTAGTGACAGTCTAAGTGCGGAAAATGAGTCGACCAACCATAATATCGTTAAATCAATCTAATTTACTTTATATGAGATAGATAAAGTAATTCTCAGATTATTGGGTTAGCAAATAATATCAAATTAAAGCAGTACTAAAAAAAACATTTTGACTTAAACCAGAAAACAATGGCATGTAAAAAGTGCCTATAATATTAACAAATTAATACTTTTTGTATTTACAAATGCACAAAATGCGTTAGTCAGAATAAAATAATATATTTTTGTATTAAAAATATTGTGCCAATATACAGGTCATTTCTTTTTTTCAAATTTTGTGCCAATTACTAATGTAAGATAATCTTAATTAATATTCATTCCTGTCACTCCACTAATAGTATTAGAACCTACATTAATCAATCCATTAAAACTATTTTCAATATTTTTAACGTTCTCTTCAATACAATCTAATAAGTTTTCAAAATAATTTGGAAATGTATCATAACTCGGAAAAACATTTATATCTATTAATGCATGATTACCTGTCCAATTGTCAATAACAATGTCAAATCCTAAGAGTAATAAACCAATTCTCCTTCTCAATACTTTGATTATCATTCTTACTTTATCCTCGTCAATGTCTTTTTCTGATTGGGCTTCATTTGGGTCTAGAATAGAAAGTGTTGACTGACTGCATGCTTTACTTACTTCGCCAGTAGTATAGTATATAGGTTCCATATCATCTGATGGGTAAAAATTTTTTAGACTGGGTCGCTGGCATATATGATATCTGGAAACAAAAAGTAATAATTCATTATTTTATAAACTAATATGCAAAATTTCATGAATATAGTACCTAAAACAAATTAAACATTAAAATATTTAAGACCACTTATATAAAATTCTGTAAATGGTTTCAGACACAGTCTGCCAGACATTTAACATATAAAAACGATAATTTTTAATGATTTTTTGTGCAATCAAAAGCCAAAATTTATTATACCAAATTATATTTTAAATATACTTTACCTATTACCAACAACAAAAACCTTATACAAAACAGCACTATGATTAACAAAACTTTGCACAACACAGGGTGGTTTGCATACATTTAACCCTCTTTGATTGCAAACCAAAATCATTTCATGGGCTAATTTTGACCCATGTGCTAAAGTTGGTTTACATATAACTGGGAATGTTACTCCTCTCTGCTTCATAATCTCAATATTTTGTTCTATGTTGTTTGTTGTGAATTTAGCAAATGCTGGTGTGAAAACACCAATTTTTTGTAGAGAGGTCTCTTCTTGTATAATTGAGTAGTATGTATATCTAAAATAGGAAATCAATAATTTAGAAAAAATGCCAGTATGGTTACTTGCAATAAAGAAATCTGGATTGTTATGGCTATTGTATAGTAGTGCTTACCTATTTAACAAAATTCTCACATTGTTTAATGGATCTATAATAGTAACATTTGGATGATTTGATATGTATTGCTCCACTCTTCTTATAATACCAGAAGCCTGAAATATGTCTCATATTAAATCAAATCATACTTTAAAAGACATACATACAATTTAATAGTAATTACCATGTGGCTACATAATTCAAATGTAATTACATATTTCCATGTCATATGATGAAAGGTGTGTGTAGCCAAGAGTAAGTTTTAATAAATTGTTTTGTTCTTTCTTAAAATAAGACAGCCAATAAGGAAAATGTTTAAATTAAGCAGGTATGCTGAAGGGCACTTACTTTAGAATCACCTTGGTCTGATGCAGCTATAATATCTGTTAATTTGTGTAGAAAAACGTCTAAATTTCCTTGTTCCTCAATAGGCTGATCCAAATTTAACTGCAAGAATTCGTTAAAACTACAATTTAAGATAATGTAACACAGATATTGTTAAATAAATCTTCTATTTACTAACTTTTATTAGATTGTATCCATGTCGCCGGCAAACATTTAATAATTCATTCCAATTGAGTTTATGACTTTTTTTTTCAGATATCCAAATACCAATTGTTTTACATAAACTGATGATTTCACTCATTTTATTTAGATATATTTAATAACTTGGGAGAATTCTCGGAGTTACCTAAGCAGCTGTGACAAGCTTAAGGCAATTTATTAAACACTGATGACTAAGCTACCAATAGCAACAGCGTAAATTCGCCAAACATCAAGCGTTCTGTTAACATAATGAGGCATATAGAATTTCTAAAATAATGAGAATGAAGGTAGTGAATTCCAGAAAGTAAAAAAAATTTCAATATTCATCACACAAGACCTTTAAGCGAAAAAGCCTTCTACTTTTTTTTTTTTTTTTTTTAAATGGCCCGCACGGTTTGTGCATTGTGGCCCAGGGTCAAAAACAGGGAAACGGGTAAAAACATAAAATTATCGACTGGAAAGGAATTTAGGAATAGAAAATAATTGAACTATAAAATAAAAGATCAATTCTTATAAATCTACATACAAAAGGAGTGTAAGAAAACATATTTACATATATTTACGTTCATATTGTCTAAAATTTTATATTATTACTTAAGATAAAAGCTGCGAAAAGTTTATATACATATTTTGGTTGTAAAGTTGAAAGTAAACTTGATATGGATGAAGGGAACGGAATTTGAAGGGAAATGAGACCTTCGAGAAGAGCCGACCGGTCGCGCCGAGGACAAACAAACATTATGTGATTTAAATCACCTACATCATATCCGCATTAAATTTTGACGTAAAAATATTTACATTAGGACGAGAAAAATAAATAGACACTATACAAATTTTATTTACAATAGCAGCAATGACTGATAAGTCATCTCCGAATGGAGGAAGTGAAAATAAGGAATAGGGGAGATAATTTTTAATGATTATGGCAACACCACCATAGCCGTCAGGTCTGTGCTGTCGGAGAATAACATACCTAACCTGGAATTCGAAAAGTCAATTCCGGGCGAAGCCATGTTTCCGACAGAGTTGAGACAAATGGTTCAAATTTATTATACAAATGGATTAAATCATTTTTATTGCAGATAGCGCTTCTGCAATTCCACTGGATTATTTGTTCGCGTTCGTGACGCATAAGCGGATTTTAATTTAGTTATGGAAGCAATCGTTTGGCGACGTTGTTCAGTTACGTTGTTGTCAGAGTTAGAATTGGATTTAATTTCAGTAAGAAATTGGATTAAATCAGAGATTATGTCCTTATTGTTAACGTTACTGTTTATTAAAGCGACCCCGTTAGAAGGAGCTGGAGCGTCGTAGTCCTTTATCAAATTCAAGTGTTCTGTTTTGTTATACCCCAGTCGTTTTGGTTTAGGGGATGTTGGTTTAGCAAATATTGTTTTCTTATAAGATCTACTATCCGACGGAATCGAGGGAGAGGAAGGCGATCCATGTGGGACAGGAGAATTAGGAGTATTCTGGATGTTTGAAAACTTAACTATATCAGCAAAAGATTTTGAAACTGGATCATATACTTATTTGCTTCTGCGTAAGATACACATTTCTGAGCCATATACAATTTAATTTTAGTCTGCCGTTCATATTCTGGACACTTTCTGTTTGTAGCAAAGTGTAGACCAGAACATAGACAGCAAGACGCGGCATCATCTTGTATGTTGCATGTGTCCCCAGTGTGGCCATGGCCACACTTGTAACAGCGGGGCCGAGAGTTACAATTAGACTTAGTATGACCAAATCGGCAACACTGAATAGTGGGATATGCATAAAGTTCCACGGGCAGGGCATTGTAGCAGAAAAATACATGTTTAGGTAGGGTTTGACCATCGAAAGTTATTACAATAGTCTGTGATGGCTTCCACTCAGGAGGGCTGCTGTTACGTACTTTATAATTTAGTCGTCTAATTTTTATAATTCCTCCGCTGCCTACAGGCAGAGAGATGTTGTCTAATGTCTCTTCGGGAGACCATTCCGCGGGAACGCCTCGCACCAGGCCCATTCGGGTCACATTAAATGAGGGAATAAAAGCTTTGTAATTATTTCTTGCCAGGCAAGGGTTATTAATAAATTCGTTTGCACATTTGTAGTCTGAGAATGATAGGGAAATTCGGTTTCTGCCTATCCTTTTGATGCTACCATTAATTATGTTTTTAAAAGAATTTTTCTTGAGGAAATACCCAAAGTGGACGGGGTGTAGGGAGGAGATGTCCGTATCTGAAGAAACTTTTTGCGCATGAACTACGAATGGCCCTATGTCATAGGTCTCATAAAACGTTCGGCCTATAGGATTTTTTATAGACTGAGAAACATCTGATGGTGGTGATGGGTGCTGTTGGGTATTAACAGTACGAGCCCCCGATATCCGGGGGCTCGTCCATTTTTTCGCCTGACTCCAGGCCTTGAGGAAAAAGTATACAAACTTACCAGATACTGTAGAATATATACACAAATGAATAAACTAAACTATTAAATTAAATTACTACATACAAATATATACAAACTGATCTTTTATACAAGTAAAATTAAATTTAAAAATTTCACAAGAAAAAACACTCCCGCCACGACCAACGTTTCCCGCGCTTTTTCTAGTCTCCCGCCTTCTACTTCTACAGTTTGTATTTGCTTTGATCGACGTATAGATAAGTCACAGAGTACCTTTGTGGTTATAGATATCAGTATTTTTGTTTTCACTGGCTCACACTTCACAGAGAATTGATATAAACAGCTGTGACAATTGACAAATAGACCAATTTTTTTTCAAAAATTTATATGTTATTTTAATACCAATTGGCAATTACCAAATATTATATCAATATTGAATGATATTACAATTTACAATATTAAACAATGACCGACGAATCTGTGCTGGGAACAAAAAGCCGAATTTTGGATTTATTTTCAGACCTGAATGAAGCAGATTTACAAAATATTGAATCATGGATTTCGTCTCAGAGTTACAAAAAAAGGTACAAACATATTTAGATTATTTAGCTTAAATAAATACATATAAGAGACAATTAGTATTTGACAAGTACAGTATACACAAAAGGTTTTTTCTCATATTGACTTATGTGAAATGTAATAAATATAATATATAAAGGTTAAATAAAACATGTGTTTCAGATTTAGAAATAAAAAAGTCTTTACAAAAAAAAGAGAAACAATTATCTAAGATAGCAAATAGCTTGAAAAAGATAGTTCCATTTAAAGCTGAAATGCCCTCTGAAGTTATTATTCCACCTATAGTTGGAGATCAAGCTGATTGTACTAAAGAAAATACATGTCATGTTGATGAGTTTCTTTATGATGACCAGGAAGTAGACAAATTAGTTAAATCAGGAAAGTTGTCACGGTTTTACTGCACAGATTGCATGTCTAGAGGTATTAATGTAAGTGGTTGGGTTATACTTTGATTTAAGTAGAATCAATAAAGATAAGACCTTATTAGTGATTTCAATTCCATTTTTTTTTAATATTCTGTTTATATAGTATAAATATATTATGTTATATGGTGAAATATAAACAGAACAGACAATAAATGAATGTGTTAATAGTAACACATTATATTATTATTCTACATAATTATGATTAATTTACAAGAATTTTGTATTACTTACAGGAGCTGATTTTTATTTCACATTCAATGTCCAAACAAGCTCTCATGTATATATTTTATGTACTCTTGCCTAATGATCTAGAAGAGAAGCAAATTTTAGATGTTGGCTCAAGATTAGGAGCAGTTCTTTATGGTGTAAGTCTTGGTGTAAAATTTGTATTTAACACACACCAATTACGTTAATGATTATCATTTACTATTATTAATTTAATCAAAACCTATTGTTTATTTTACAGGCTTATTATCTTTCAAATGCATCCTCAATTGTTGGTGTAGAAATGAATAAAGATTGTTGTGAGATTCAAGAAAAAACGTTAAAGAAGTTCTCAATGGATCCAAACAAAATAAAAATAGTAAATTCAGATATCTTAGAAAGATGTGATATTGTTCAAAATTCAAATATTATAATAATAAATGTATTAGACTTTTTTGTGGACACAGAAAAACATAAAGAAATGTGGTATTTCTTTAAGAAGTATATTAAAAAGGGAAGTTACCTAGTATCAAATAGAAGTATGGATGAAACTTTGAGTGCTTTGCAGATGTCTGAAGACATGATGGAATGGTTAACAATTTGTAAACCAAATCAACTTGAGCATGAAATTTTTTTTGATGTAGAAGATTATAGTGAATTATTTTTATACACAGTTAATTAAAGTTTTTATCCATGATGATGTTTAAATTATAAATTAAACTAAATATCATTATATTATTTTTTAAATTCTTACTAAATTGCAAGAATAGAATAGGTACCTATACCTATATTACTTATTAGTACAAGAAATGTTTAGTCAGTTATAATTTATTTGAATATTCAGTTTTGACATACTGGAGACTGGAGTCATTGCTCGCGCTAAGTCTGTACTCTGAATATATATCTCTGAGTCTTACCCTAAATCGTAGGTCATTAATAATTTTAGTACTGACTCCAAGCTCAATAAAAAACTTAGTTGGTTTAAAAATAGTCTGCGTCTCATCGTAGTTCTATGGACTTCATTACAGAACACTGAACACTTCATTGTATTTATGATATAGTCTGTGGGCTGTGGCCCTCAGCTTAACTTCTTTTGGCCTAAAGGTCTAGATACCAGGCCATAAACTCAAAAAAAAAAAAAAACTTAACTTCTTCATTCTGATTTCAGCATTCAGCAATAATTTTCACGTTTCTGTTTTGTAAAATCATTATCTTCTTATTTCAAAGATATTACGAAGCGTTCTTATAAAAAAACGTAATTCGTTTTTAATTTGATTTAAATAGTTTATAAAATGTGGCACGAAGCACGAAGACAAGAGCGTTTAATTCGCGGCTTAATAGTGGACTATCGACGTAGGGCTGAACGACGAAAAGATTTCTATGAAAAAATAGTAAGCGTTTTATATTTTAGTACTCTTTAGTCTTTATTTAATAACAATAACTTTGATGATTGTTTGTGGTAATTATTGCAATATTAAAGAAATTTTAAGGATCACACAATAGACGAAAAGTCAAAAACTTAGTATAACATTATTTTAGAAAGCAGAGCCAACTCAATTTTTACAATTACATGGAAGGGTGTGTAAGATACATTTGGATCCAGCTGTGGCTGCAGCGGGAGAAGGGCCAGCTATTATGTAAGCAATTGGTTTTTTTTAATGAAATTACCACAACAATATAGAAATACTTCAAAGGCTTTTTTTGTGTACTTTATATTTTCCAAAAATCGTTAATAAAGAAACCCTTGTTACGCATCAAGTATTTTTTAAGCAGCCTGTGATTGAAAACATAATTTAAAATAGGAAAAGTACCAAACCATATATCTTTCAGGATGCCCTGGCAAGGTGACACCAGCAATATGATTGACAGATTTGATGTTAGGGCACACCTTGATTATATACCAGACATCAAAGTGCCAGACATACCTCCAGATGAACTTAGTCAAGAGGAGAGGCAGTGTAACTATGAGCGATACAGAATCCTTGCTCAAAATACTTTTCTTGGAATAAGTAAGTGGCTGTCACATTTCCTTTGCATTAACACCGTAGTAGGATGTTACTAGAGACTACACTTAGGGTCTGTTTCACAATGTATGGATAAGTTCAACATAAGTTCTAAATTAGCTATTTATTACTTATTGGTAGCATAAACACTATTGTTGTGTTTCACTACTGTCAGATAGCACTATTCGTCACATAAAGTCCATCATAAGTTATGAGTCCGATGAAGTGTCAAATAGCACAATTTATCTTCTAAATAATTTATGTGTTGCATAGCTATTTGGTACTTTATCCATACATTGTGAAACAGACCCTTAAAATGTTATATTCTCCAAAATACTGAGAAGCTGAAGTTATTTTATGAAAGTTAGGTTTCAATATTATATTGTACTTGTATAATTTAACATTTTCTTTTTTTTCCACTTTCCCCAACTTGTTAATTTATTGTTATTTTTTACTAATACTACTAAACTTTTATTATATTATATTTAGGTGAAGATAAGTTCCTTAAACAACTAGCATTGGAAGAACAGTTTGGCATCACCATTGAGGAGAAAGAGATGCAAAAGGAGCGTTTAAATGAGAAAAAGGGGACAGGTGTAGCAATTGGATACAATTATAATGATCCCGGATCTCAACCATCCTGCTCAAACGGTAGATTCAGCCTTTTAGAAAACAGTGGTGTAACAATGAAACAAAATACAGTGTAGATGCCAAATATTTTAGGCTTCTGACAGATGCTCTAGTTACGCCACTAAAATCAAGGATTCTGACTAATAGTGTATGTTTTTGTGAGTGTTTTATTACACAAAGTAATATTACAGGCCCTGAACTAACGGAAAGTAAGGATTCTGATGATGAATCTGATTTAGAGATCATTGATGTTGATCTGAGCATTGATGTCAACAAAATGAAGGCTGCACAGGTAAGCAACTTTTAAATAATTTATATTTATTATTAATTTATATACATACATATATTTTATATAATAAATAAATCTTGTACACTGTTATTCTTACTTTTCCTTTTTTTTATAATTACTTCTTCTAATATATTACCTTGTTTGAAAGAGAGATCAACAATATAATATAACTGATTTCTTCATTCTTAGTTAGTGGATTAGTGTATTCTAATTTGCTTTAATGTAATAATTATAGATTCTTAATATTTAATGTTGTCTATTTTGTTTGTTAAATACCTGATTCCGCCACTATTCTCTCCTGGATTATCTTAATTTTTTTGTATAAAATGTTATGTGCTTGTTCTTTTCCTTACTATTAGTTTGATTAACTATGAGATCTTTTTATTTAGATTATTTATTAGTGAACACACGGTCAAAATTTTTTTCATTTAGTATTGCTCTAATACTAGTTGTAGTGAAATCTAAACAAAAATACAGGAAACAGCAAGTTTGAGCTGTTATATTTGAATTAAATACTTCATAAAAAGACACATTTTCGATCATATCATTCAGGTAAATAATTCTATTTATATGCATGTAATTTATAAAGTATGTTCATTCAACAATAATTGTAAATTGTAAAAAAGGAATCAGCCAAAAACTTGACATTTGATTATAAATTTTAATGGTAATATTAGATAATAATAAGAGATAAGATTGTGATTGGTTATTTGTTCGTCCTCAAGAAATGCCATGAAATTTTCATGTCATTTAAAAAAAAACCTTGAAAAGTGGAAGGAATTAAAATTTTTTTTTTCTATGGGATATCATTTTTCGCACTAGGCTCACGAGTTAAATGCTGTGGGACCTCAATATGGTATGACTGGATGTGATCTGTTCTCATTTCTTACTGGTGACGCGGATGAAGCGGAACATCAGAAGCAATTATTGCGAGAAGAGAAGGAAAAAGCATTGTTCTCCGGTAGAAAGAGTCGCAGGGAGAGACGCGCACATCGGTATGTAGTTTTAGTTCAATATTTTATATTAAATAAAATAAAAATAAAAATAGCCTTTATTCGAGTAAACTATAACTACAGTAAGTCCATGTCTTTTAAGTTTTACACTAGTACTCAACCTCCGATGGAGTGAAGGTCTGCAGATTCTTCCACTTATCCCTATTTGTTGCGACAATTTTCCAGTTTTTTTCCCGCTATCCCTTTTATTTCATATTCCCAAGTTTTCGGTGGGCATCCTCTCTTTCTTCTTCCCACTGGGCCCTTCCAAGTAAGGGTCTTTTTGACCCATCTGCCATCACAAATGCGGCCAATGTGACCGGCCTATTTCCATTGTAACCTTTTTGTATAAGTTCAATATTATATATTATGTTAACTATTTTATGAAACCAGCTTAGTGTGTGACTATATTCGTCAAATCCTTGTTTCGACGTTTATATGGGGGTGAAAATGTAAAACTACAGTGTTTTAATTGCGATAGTTTCTATTCGGATACATTAACAGAATTCCAAGTCAGATCCAACTAGTTTCCGTTTAGAATGATAACTGTTTCAGTATAAAGTATGTAGAGGGTTTTTATTATTCACAAAAAATTAAGTGTAATTGTCCTAAGCCTACATACGTTACGCCACAAAACTTAATCATTAAAACTACCGAACCGATGGAGGTGGTGATTCGTGAATTATTTATTTATTTTAATAAGGCAAACGAAACACATACTATCTTACGGAGAACACATATAAAAAACACAATAAATGCATGTCTAACAATGGCAAGTGGCTTGTTAAAACTGTTGCCATAAAAAAAAGACAAGTGTGCACAACATTTAAATGGAAACATAACAATAATGATAATAAACTAAACATTAAATAAAATATGCAATTTTATTTTTTTATTGCAATTTGTATAAAGTAATTAATTTTAATTGATGAACTTTGTCAAATCAGTGACGTCTGAGATTATATTGGAAATATTCGACCACTGTTGCGTTCGGCGTAAATACTACTTACATCTAAGACGTCCTTTAAGGGACATAATCTATTTTTTATAAGTTTTGGGTATACCAGGGATAAAAGACTGCCTCCATTACCAACAAGTCCACCGAGCTATGCAGCTCCAGCTGAGAAGTCAAAAGAAGCATCGCCTGCACGTTCGAATACGCGATCGCCTTCTCCTGAGGTGGAGAATATTGAGTTCATCACCTCGTTTGGGCCTGATGAAGAAGATAAACCACGTAAGTTTGAGGATCCTAATACACTGATGTTAATAAAACTTTCTGCACTCGCAATTCATATAACTTTTTATACCCCTCACATTTACACGCTTTTTCCAGACAAACTGGTTCATAACCGTATTTAAATTTCCAAGTCCAACAACAAAATTTATCGTTATAAATGTATTGTTAAGGCGTGATAGATCAGCAAAGATATATATTATATTTATACAATATACATTTTAAGACCTTGTACACATTAGCTTATACTTATATTTGAAACAATATTTTACAGCACCCACACCAAAGCCTCTCTATTCTGAGAAACTAAAGAAGAATCTTAAGAAAAATATGCTCTATTCAGAAATCGTGAGAAAGCGAAGATCCAGGTACGTTTTAAAAGGAAGACATGTTTTAGTGTAGTTTTTTTAGTTAAAAAGATTTAAAGTGTTTGGTGTTTTCCCAATTTTATTTTTCGGAAGCTAAATAAATACTGATTTAAAAGAAAATGTAGAAAAGTAATCTCAACAGATAATCTTTTAGTTTTTCACCATAATAAATAATGTTCTTACTTCTTAGGGAGCGTTCAAGTATTACGTAACGAATTTGGGGGGAGAGGTCCTTTTGTTAAACGTTACGATGCGGGGCGGGGATTGAATTACGCGTTATTGTTAATATTATTTTCGACTTTCCAATATTTTACACCACATAATGGTAACTTTTAGGTAAAAAGAGTCACTAGGTGGTCACGAAACGTTTTACTATACTTGGGTACAGAAAAAGGTTACGGCGCCTTACATGGGGTCCCCTACCCCATGTAACGCGCCAATAATATCCAAAAATTGCGTGACGTAATACTTGAACGGTCCCTTAAGAAACATCAGGTATATTCCAACTTAATGAACAGTCTCGGATTCATCAAAATTGATTGTCCTTTTTTGCGATAACAGCATTTCTGGTGGGGAACCCAGGTCGGTGTAACTTCTATAAATTATGAATATATAAAATATTCAACAGGTCAAGATCCCGCGATAAACCCCGACCTGTAATGGGACCGCGATTCAGGGACTCGATTTCCCGCTCGAGGTCTAAGTCTTATTCAAGATCCAGGTCCAGATCCAAGTCCAGGTCTACTTCTAGGTCCCGATCCAGATCAAGGTCTAATTCGTCCTATCGAAGGTCTAGATCTAGGAGTTACGGAAGGCGGTCGCGTAGCCGTTCAAAGTTTGTATTTTATCCTTCGTTTACACATTTAGGTTTTTTTTAAATTAAACGCGATTTTATTACATTATTTACTACTTTTTACTACGTTTTCAATACTTTCCAGCTGTCTTAAAACGACCGAGGAGTTAATTTCTTTTTAATTATTTAATTTATTAGTTTTTTTTTATTTTTTATTAGCCCATTTTGATAGTATTTGTGACAACATCACTATACTATATTGTATTGTACTACGTAAGAGCATTCCAGTATTTCTGTTACCAACATTGTCGATATAAGAGATAGACAGTGTTCATGATAGAGTCTGCTCTATGACTCTTTTTAATGATGTTGCAAATAGCTTTTGTCAATCAAGATTCCGTATAAAAGCTATCCAATTCTGTAATTACAAAATATTACACAACTAAAATTATCTGTTGACTATGTGACCCTCTCCCTCTGTTCTCGATTAACTCTAATAATGGGAGAGTTTTAAACCTAAAAACGAATCTAATAAAGAAATAAAACCAGTCATTTATAGTCAAAATTGTCAAATTCATGGAGGTTTATATTTTTTAAATTACAGCTACGGTGGAAATGGAAAACGAAATAGATCCAGGTCGATGTCATATGAAAGGTAAGGTGTATAGTGCAGGGGTGAAAGGAATGGTTAAATACATCGTTTCCTTGAAACAAAGCACATCACTACGTTGTAATTAAAATATCATTACGAATTTTCCAAAAATATAATTAATTCTTAAATATATTTTTTCAAATTTTCTATTTAACAAAATAGGGTTTATTAATGATATTAAAATGTAACTTATTATAAAATATACAATTATTATAATGGTAACAGTAAGTGCGAGCCAAAAGCCGTGCCGCGTTACTACGGGCGTCGCAAAGAAGACAAATCTTCGAGTGAACTCTCGCTCGATTCTGACTCTAGCACTTCGGATCATAATTATAAGTAAGTAATTTTAAATATATCTTCTTGGCTTTTTTTCGTAAATCTTGATTTAAATTGAATGAATTTTTGAATTCACTGTGGCTAAATCTCGAATTGAGTTTGCGACTTCAGAATCTTCATTTCATCATCAGTCCTTTATGAAATAACGTAT